ACACAGACAGCATCGTCAGAAGGAAAGTTGATAAAATAAATTACAAATGTTGTATTGTTCGATACATATGCGTACCGAACCGAAAGCACTGTATCGAACGGTTCAATATCGATACGAATATCGTTGCACCCCTATTTATTAGATGTACACGTGGTTTGGTTATTTGCCTTTTGGTTGAAAGGACACTAAGAGAGGACTTTTTTTATTAGTGATCTTAATAGTAGTTTTTTAATCTAATTAAATCCAATCTATTTGTGTATGATTGTCAGTCCAAAGAGGGAGAGAGGAAAGAGGAGAACATGAGGAGAAAGTACGAGGTCAGGAAGAAGCAGGTAAGCAAACAGACAGGGAACAGTGACAGGCAGAAACTGTTAAACTGACAAAGAGAAAAACCTGATTTTACTCACAGTCTGGAAGTTGTGTCCTCCCTGTATTAAAGCTGCTGTACAGAGTCTGCTAAACAAACTGGGTTGTCAGCCCTGGCACTGCGTTACCATACTGAGCTTCAGTCAGAGGAAGTCACGGTTGCCAAAACCTTTTTGAAGCTCGAGAGTGAGGCTGGTTCCATCCCAGATATGTTAACATTGTACAATCTTCAGGATAATCAGATCTTCCCCACACTGAAAACTGCTATTCAGGTTGCCCTAACAAACCCAGTTAGCAGCTGTAGCTGTGAGAGGTCATTTAGTGTCTTGAGTCAGCTCCATACCTGGCTGAGAAGGACCATGGGTCAAAGCCGACTCCAGCACCCGGCTGTGATGTCAGTTGAGAAAGAGATGCTTGAGAGACTTGACCACCAAAATGTGATAGATTTGCCAACCTCAAGCTGAGGTGACGTAGGATAAAAGAAAAGAAAAAATCTGCAGAGCCATGTTAGTATCTGCAGTAAAGATCTTTTCATACATTGTGCCAGAGGCCAAGGTGTCTCAGTTTTCTAATTTTGTAATAATATTTCGTACATTTCAAGGACTCTATTTTTGGAGTGTATTTTTTTTTATATATTTTTATTATATTACACACACACTTTAAAAGTGAATCTCTGTCCAAAAAATGCTCTCAGTTTACTTCTTACTCACTGTGAGCATCATTCATTATTCTCCCAGTAATTAAGGTCAGGATATGTATTTTATTCCAATCCATTCTTCTTTTGCAGCATTTAAATAACCTTTATCAGATTTGATGGTTTTGTTACAGACTTTTCAAAAAAGTGTTTTGCTTTTCTTTCACACATGTGGGATTAAATTGTGTTAAAATGTACAAAACAGTGATGTCATGTTTTGAGACGAGGACCCAGGCACAGAGAGACCTGATGAATTTAAGAATCTTATGCTTTAATAAAGAAATTTGCAGACTTGCACTGAGAGGGTAAAATTATGATGACTGATAATGGAGATGAAGACAACAGACGATGAGGACCGAGAGGAACAGGGGTTTAAATGCACCAAGGAGACAGTCAGAGGGAACTCGGGACAACTGGAGACATTTAAGGATGCAGGGACTGACAGAGACGGGGAAGAAGTCTCATCGTGACGAGTACAGTTTACCTTGCCTGGATGGGCAGCTCTCTAGGTGCTCAGCACCCCCAAAGCTCTGATCCTAGAATCGCCCCTGATGTATAATATCCACAAAACTTAAAAAGAGGTTATACACACACAATACGGTAACATTATGTTGAAGCACAGTACGTATCACTCCGCGAGGCTCCGCCTACGATAGCCGTAATGCTCCGACAATCCATCAAGCGGTGCGGCTTCGTAGCTTAGCAAAGTCGTACTGAAACATCTGACAGATGTTCGAGCGCCGTGCACATAAAATAGTTTCCAGGTCAGTAAACACAACCAGAGTTCATACATAAGGCGCACGGGATTATAAGGGGCTCTGTCGCTTTTCAGAAACTCAAAGGGTTGATTTTAAGTGCGCCGTATTTTCCAAAAAACATCGTAATAACGACGGCCAGCTAGCATGCTCTACCAAAAATAGTGCTTTGTTGTGTATCTGACGGACGAAAGCTAAACCAGTTCCACACCACTGAAGCTGCAGCATTTTACAAACCAGTTCTGGTTCATCCGTTTCATTCAACGATCCGCTTTCGCCCTTCTCGTTCTCCTTCGCCGCCATGTGCGCATGAAAACAACGGCACTGCGCATGCGCGTTTTACTCATTCTATCGCCATATTTCATTTTAGATGTCATCGCTGCCTCTGTGACATCATCGCTGCCTCTGTCCTGTTATACCGGCGACTTAATGACTGCAAAAGCTTCACGTTAAGTAACCAACAAACTAACATTAATCTGGGACTTCAGTTTTTGTAAAAACAAACTGCTGCAGCAGATTTTGCTCCTCTGTGCGCGTTGGCAGCAACTATGAACGAGGAAACAAATGAGAGGGTCAGTCAGCTGGTTCAGGTGCAGCAGGAGGGAAACTCAGCGTTTATTGAATAACACCTGCCAGTTATCAGGTTAGGTTCACAGTCTGTTACCATGGTAAGTGACTCAGAGTTGAAGTTACCTCATATCAGGGATAACAAACTCAGAGGAGCTCTGTTGAGCCAACCATCCCTTAACGTTAACTAGTAATGACTTCATGAACTTTTTCACAAATAACATTTTAATCTTTAGAGAAAAAATGACCAGTAATCATCCCACAGATGTAATATTATCTACAGCTACTCTTAGTACCATTGATGTTCATTTAGACTGTTTTTCCAATTGATCTTTCTGAGTAAAAGTCATCTGTTCACACAGCTCTTTGCTAACTACAGGCCAATCTCCAACCAGGCTGTAGGTATTACAGGTACTGTGCTGCAGTGGTTTGTATCATATCTATCTAATAGACTCCAGTTTGTGCATGTAAATGGAGAGTCCTCTTCACACACTGAGGTTAATTATGGAGTTCCACAGGGTTCAGTGCTAGGACCAATTCTGTTTACATTATACATGCTTCCCTTAGGCAGCATCATTAGAAGACATAGCATACATTTACACTGCTATGCAGATGAGGATGGAGCTGTGAGGAACCTTGGAGTCATGTTTGACCAGGACATGTCCTTCAACGCACATATTAAACAAATATGTAAGACTGCTTTCTTCCATTTGTGCAACATCTCTAAGGTTAGAAATATCCTGTCTCAGAGTGACGCTGAAAAACTAGTTCATGCATTTATTACTTCCAGGCTGGACGACTGTAATTCATTATTATTAGGAAGTCCTAGAAACTCCCTGAAAGCCTTCAGCTGATCCAAAATGCTGCAGCAAGAGTCCTGACAGGGACTAGAAAGAGGGAGCAGATTTCTCCTGTTTTGGCTTCCTGTTAAATCCAGAATTCAAAATCCTTTAAAAGTAAGAATTTAAAAGTATAATGGGAGGAAGAGCCTTCGGTTTTCAGGCCCCTCCTCTGTGGAACCATCATCCTCACTACTAACACCTTCAGTGTGAGGTCCGACTGATGTTTGACGATGGTGATCCTCTAAACAGGTGAGGACACAATGATCCAGGTATTTATGGATCAGCCTCAACACAAGGCTCTGATGAAGCTCTTGTCATCGTTCTGTGGAGTTTTACCTGCCGACCACCGTGATGCTCAGTAACCACGATGCACCACAACCCGAGGGTGGACTCGGGTGAGACAAACACCTGCTCAGAGCACCGTAAGGACACACACAGCTCACTTGCACACACCTGAAGGTCTGTCTGTGTGTCTCTGTTCGGGTTCGTGTGTGTGTTTACCTTTTCCAGTGAGGGCACCAGCAGGCCTCTCCATTTCGGACCGTTCTCTTCGCTGAAGAAGTCGTACTGCGGCTGCGCCGCCTGCATGGCTGCCGCTCCCGCGGGTCTGAGCAGCCGGACTCACACGCCCGGTTCGGTGAGCGGCAGTCCGGGTCCAGCAGGGCGGGTGAAGCCGTGAAGCTCAGAACATCCGGGCCGATCCTCCAGAGCAGCCGCCCTCACTGCGACCATCCTCGGAGAGCTAGCCGTTAGCTCCTGGCTAGCAGCTGCCCGCGGCTCCGCTCACCGGGTGCAGAGCATGACGAATGGCCACCGGGACGCTGATCTGCCGCGGCGTTAGCCCGCCTGCTAGCGTTAGCGGCGGCTCGGTAAACGGACCGGCCAGCAGCTGCCGGGCAGCGGGCGCGTTGTTACCGGGCGGGCGGTGCGGACCAAAGGCACACCAACTCTCCGGCGTCGTGGCTTTCGCTTAGCGTCCGCTGCCCACACTATGTCCCCCGGACTCTCTCAGACGGCGCGTCCGGCCCCGGGCCCCTGACAGGCGGACAGTCCGTGAGCTAACGGAGGGCGGTTGTTGTCACCAGAGTCTGGGGAACCGTAGAGTATCGGCTGCACATGCGTACAGGGCGAGTCCTGACGTATATGGGCGGGGCTCCTGCGCAGGAGAGCGTGCTTCACTGCGCGTGTCACAGTGACGTTGGCAGCCATGTCGACAAGTGAGGACTAAAAATAACTAACACGATTCCAAATTCAACAAAAAAAATGAAATATGAAACAAAAATATTCAAAATTTATCAAAGAATAAATAAATACAAAACAAAAAATAACACCAAAATATCAAAAAGTACACAAAATCTTAATGTACAAAAGAAAATCTCTCGGTCCCACAGGTCTTTCCTCCCCACTGCTGTCAGACTCCACAACAAAGACTTGATCAAACACATCCACACATGTGCAATAACACTATGTGCAATACTCTTTTTGGCATCATTGTATTATACTCAGTTGTATATAGCATTTGTATTCTATTTTATTCGATTGTATAGAGTATTTTATTTTTATTTTATTCTATTGTGTACAGTATCTCATAGATATATTATTCCAGTGTTTTTTTTCTAATTTTTCTATGCAACTTTGCACTGTCCACTGCTGTAACAAACACATTTCCCACATGTGGGACTAATCTAGGTTATCTAATCTTAAAAATCATTTTTAGATATGTGTGTATCAGACATAAAACGAGCTAGCCCCTGCTGGACAAAGACTCACACAACCATCAGCCCCGTGGAAACAGAAATGTCGACCAACTGGAAGATGAATCAGGACCTCAGTATCATTTACAGCAATGACTGTTCTGACTTCCTGATACACACTAATATTTTCCACAGATCCAAAGATCTCTCTGTTTCACCGGCAGCACTGAGCTGCACCCATAACCTGATGGAGAGATTATATATTATCTAACCCGGCAACACCTTGGTTTCTGGAATAGCTGTTTAACCTACTGCTACCATGATCTGACTGGATGGCTGGATTTAGACAATAAATGGGGATATTTTAACCCTTTGGCGTCCACAGGCAGCTGTAAAGGAGTGGTGGGTTTTTAAAATAGCTTTGAGCTTAAGGCTGCTCTCACTGGAACAGTAAATGGACTGGTTCTTATATGGTGCTTTTCTAGTCTGAGCACTCAAAGCACTTCACACAGCTTGCCTCATTCTTCACACAAGCACTTTTTTCTGTGCTCTTTCTATCTGACATTCGCACACATTCATTTGAGAGTGACTTCAGGTCAGTATCTCGTCCAAGGATACCTGACATCTGATACCCACCCACCTTCCAGATTAGCAGGTGACCTGCTCTACCACCTGAGCCACAGCCACCCCAGTGAAGCCAGAAGAGGACGGAACAGGGACTGTGCTGACCCCCAAAGAGCTGAGTGGAAATAAAGGCTCTCATGTTTCCTGAGAGGCTGCTGAAGATTTTAGGGAACTTTTAATGATTTATGTGTTTGAAAAAATAAAAAGTTTTCAACATAAACTGAAGATGGTCACTCTAAGCACAGTCTCTTTGTCATTGTGATAATAAGCAGCCGAGTCCCTTCATATTTAAACAATGTTAACATCTCTGTGATGGCGCACCTTGTTCTTATAAGCGTTCTGGGCAGACTCAGAGCTCTCAGACCTCTCTCCAGTTTCCTGATTCTTTAGTTTTGTCACCTTCATGGTCGACGGAGCTTGGAAAGAAAAGCGTCTGGACTTCTTTAAGTTGCTTGAAGACGTTTCACCTCTCAGCCGAGAAGCTTCTTCTGTTCTAAGAGTCAAATGGTGGAGAGTCCCAGATTTAAACCCAGTGGGAGTTTCCCCTCAAAGAGGGACAAAAGGACCCCCTGATGATCCTCTAATCACACGAGCCAAGGTATAAAAACGGGTGTGGGTCCCAATCAGCCAGTTTTGGGGGAGCTCATTGTGAAACCTATCGTGTGATTTCCTGAGGTCAGATGGCCCAGGATGTGAGTGGGCGTTAAGGCGTCTGGGAAGGGATCTCAAAACTGGATTATAGATGGCAGACAGTTGGTGTCGTAAGCCCCGCCCTCTGTTCAAAGATGGTCGCTCACACTGGACATAGATGGCTTCTTTCACTCCTCTTTCAAAACATCTGTCCTCTCTGTCCAAAATGTGAACATTGGCATCCTTGAAAGAGTGACCTTTGACCTTTAGATGCAGATGGACTGCTGAGTCTTGTCCTGTGGAGGTGGCTCTTCTATGTTGTGCCATGCGCTTGTGAAGTGGCTGTTTGGTCTCGCCGATGAATGGAGGTGAAACGTCTTCAAGCAACTTAAAGAATTCCAGACGCTTTTCTTTCCAAGCTCCTTCGACTGCAATGACCTGGATGACTGAGAACCTTCACAGACATACGTCTCCCTCATGGTTTAAGCTCCTGTTTCTGGGTTTCAGTGGTTCTTCTTCATGGTCACAAGTCACCGTTTCCCTCAGAGTTGTGCTGAACTGCTTCATAGCATCTGATGGTGCTGGAAGAAACTTTATTGAAATGTTCTTCAGTGACAAACATTTAGATTCGCTCAGGGCCAGGCTGGGTCAGGTACCTTTTAGAAAATAAGAAACCTGCACACGTGAGAACATCAGCTCTTCCAACTACCCGGGTCACACGGTTCATGTTACAGGTGAATGACAGACTTTTCTGAGCAGCAGCACATGTGACTGTCTCCACCGGCTACCTTCTAACTCACCTGGTAACTGGATCCAGTCCACATGAGTTGTGCTGCCCTGATGTGCTCAGTGAAGCCGGCGCCTCTTCATTATGTGATGTTATCAGAACCACAATAACACGCCTCACACACATTTAACAAATATTTAATTCTCAGATATAAATACATCCAACAAATGCTGACAGATCTTCCACAGGAGCAGCTACAGGTGACGAGTCCCATCATGTTTACACCATGTATTTACAGCTGTGTCCAGCAGGGGGCAGCAAAGGTTCCATGAGGGGACAGTGGAGCTATGATGGGGTATCAGGAGGAACATGGGAGCTTTCAGTGTGGAATCTACAGGTTAAAGGTCGATAGTGATGGTGAGTCACCGTTTCACTCTGCGTGTCGGCTTGAAATTAAATAAAGTTCTGACTTTGAGCCGCACACAAACATTTCATCCACCGTCATTCTCCCTCAGGAGCCTAAAGACCTCGATGGGTCCGTCCCCCTGATACTCCTCCTCACGCTGATCATCAGCCCTCCTCCTGATGATGGGAAGGATGCTGTGGACACTCTCAGTTTGGTGTCTGCAGCTGGTGGATGAATGTTTGTAATTCCAGATGTTTTTGAAAGCTCAGAGCCTGAACTTCAAACGTCCGATTCTGCTCGTACAGGGGGGTCACGAGAAGGCATCGAGGCTTCCGATAGGCTGATGCAGAGTCTCAGAGGCTGATACCTGAAAAAGCTTAAACATAAATGGTGTCATACCCTGTTTACAGAGGAGTCGGTGTCAGAGGTTAAAGGTCAACTCCTTTGTTTGATAACAGAGCGGCAGCACTGATACCTGGATCATCTGTCAGTGCGTTCCCTCCTGCGGGAAGCCTGAAGTCAGCGAGCAGCACCTGCTCAGCGTCGCAGAGTAAAGGGTTCAGTCTGTGGCTCAGCTCGCAGCTGAAAGCACATTTATATACACATCTGTGAGCGGCCGCCGCCATCCAAACCTGCAGCACGCCACCTGGTCACGTGACGCTCTGCAGCTCAGACTCTGATCCATCAGGCGGGATTCACACCTATCACGTTTTGAACTGGCTTGTGGATCCAAGCCGAACAAGAACAATCAGCTTTGCTTGTCTGTAATTGGCTGTCATCACTAAGAAGGCCACACCTGAACATCAAATGCCTAAGCAACGTGTGAACCCCGCATGACTGGATAACACTCACCTGAGCTCAGAGCGCTCGCGTGCACCTGAAGCTCCGCCCAACTGACTGATCGGAGCACAGCGCTCCGAAACATCCGCATGGGAAGGCTCCATGAAGATCACACCTGCAGCAGGTTTGGATCCCAGCGCACACCTGTGTGTGTGTGTGTGTGTGTGTGTTTCCTGTTATTGCTCCTGATGGGGACCCAGCTGCAGCAGCTTTGTGACCTGCCTCAGTTCAGGTGACTTTCACACCGATGAAGCTTCTGATTGGACGATGGGACAGCAGAAAGAAAACGGTGAGTCAGAGCTGACTGACAGACAGCTGCTGAGACCTGGCCACCTGTCTGACTCTCAATTGGGCTTTACATGTTTGATGTCAGGTAAGTACAGATGACTCACCTGATTGACCAACAGCTAATTTATCTTTTATTAACTTGATCACTGATGGTACCTTTGGCCACACCACTGCAGAGATGGATCACAGGAACCAGGCGAGGCTCAGAGTGCACGCTGAGGTGACCTGAGCTGGGTCCAAATCAGGAGCACGAACAGGTGCGCAGCTCCGTCTGCAGTCCGAGGCCCCTCCTATTACGGAACCGGCCAAAAATACACCTTTTGTCGTCCGAGAATCATCCTCTTCCTCGCCTCAGACGGAGGACTCGTGGGCGGTTTTGGACCGCAGTGCTCCGGCCCGGCTCAGGAAGGGGAAGGTGGTGCCGAGGCAGCCAGACGCTACAGTGAGACCCAGACTGGCCCAGGCGCAGCAGATGGACCAGCCATAACCGTGATCCACGTCAGCTGGCAGGCCGTAGATGAAGGGCGGGTTTCTGGAGAGGTCGTAGGTCACGCTGGCTGCATACGTGCACAGGGAGATGGTGCAGAAGATCCCTGAGAACGAATCAGAGACCAGATCAGACTGACACCTGAACCTGTGCTGGCTGTAATTGGCTGAGACCTGCAGGTGCATTACCAACAGGTAAAATATGAACCCTCTGACTGTCAACACAACCTGGTCTATAAGTGATGACGTATGAATCCTGCCTCCAGGTCCGAACTAGTCTGTGTTTACTAAGGCTGTTGTGTTTTTAACATGTTTTGTATCTTGTTCTATTTAATCTCAATAAACCCCTAAAAACATCCCTGTCGGCCTCTCTCTGTTTTTATCACCACTGTAATTCATTATTATCAGGAAGTCCTAAAAACTCCCTGAAAAGCCTTCAGCTAATCCAAAATGCT